GTGGACAAGTCACGACTCAAGTAATTGTTAATGAAACACGAATATGTAGATATGTTTATTTCTTACCAAAAAACAATTGATTAGCTCATTAACATTTTTTACTTAATTTATAAATATTTTCCCAACATATCGAAATAACTTGGATGGGTTAGGCACGTCATTTGTGGAACTAAGATACATTATTAAGTACAGAAAATGCGGATTACATCAAAACCATATCCATGAGATAGTGTTCACCGTGTTAATATGAGAGAGACTTAAAACATAATAGAGATTTAGAAAAGAAGTAAATAAAGGAATAGATCTGAATAGAGCTGGAATACTTACTCATTGTAAAAGGAAAAATGAAATATCCATTAAAACTTTCAATTTGATTGGGAAATTAAAAATTGTTTTCATTAAATGTCCAAAAGTTGTGTTAAAAAATCGAAAACTTGACTGAACAAAATTTTGCAGTGATATTGTGAAGAACTCTCGGAAATATTTTCCAGAGGTATGTATTTCCACCCTGATTCCGTGAAAATATTTTTTTCTTGGGAGAGGGACTCAAATGCCGAAAGTCCGGGTCCAAGATCCAGCTTACACTCGGACCTACTAAACCCATACGGAGTATAGGTATCATTTAAAAGTAATGAAAATACCAACCCAACAAGTGGTCACGTGATGCTTTTTAAAACAGTTCGGGAGTTGTCTCAAAATTATTTATTTTTTTAACACGAATTTTTTAAAAAAAAAATCCCCGGTCGAAGGCCGGCTACTTAAAAGGAGTATCAAGTTTAGAAAATCTTTGGTTCGCGTAGCGGGTGTAAGACATACCCAGAGGAGCCCCAGTCGAAGACCGCCTGTCTAAAACAGCATACAATACAAAAATTGCACAAAATTGGCTTGTCCTTTTTTAAAAGCCCATATTTCTGGATCCACAAAAAATAATAAGAGAATAAATAATAAAAAAAGGTTGGAGTGTAACCTATAATTTACAATTGTATATATTTTGTGGAATACCAAAATGAAACCATTTGTCAATTTTTTGGAGTGTTGGTCTATACCCAATTTTTTGTCCAAAACTATTTCAACGCCCCTTAGAGAACTCAATACCGAATGTCCCTTCACCAAATTTAGTAACATTTTGTACACATATTTAAAACAAACTACATTTTACCATTCTACACAGCAACGGTGATACAAAATTAGGTACTATTTAGTACTTTTCGTGCAATTGCAAACTTCCAAAACCACATCAATATGTCCAGGCTACACATGAATAGCGATTCAAAGGATAAATTTTTGAATTCAATCTCTATCTGTTCATCCAATACCAAATTGTACCAAATATAGTACTATTTAGTACTTTTCGCCCATTTGTCTACCCATCGCCGAAACCACATCTTTATCACAAACCTATAACCCACAGGGACCCTAAAACAATTTTTTTTTTTCACATAATACCAAAGCATTCGGCTCGCCGTTTCCATGAATTTCCACATGAATTTCGTATCATAACTTATTGATAGTTAATTGGAGGAACTCATAAGCCGAAGTGCTAGCTGCAATGGTTTCCTAGCCATTGTAGAGGACCTAAGGAGTCGAACCCGACTCCAGACACAATAGTCCAACCTATTGGTATCTGGAGATTTTGGTGACCATTGTGCGCTGGAAATGAAGCGAGGAACCTCATTTTGTAACCATTATTAGGCGGCGCGTGCTAAATCCTGTTGGAAGGTTTGCGGCCAAAATGTTTGCGTGCCCAAGGTTTTAATACACCCTCCAGAATATTTTCGCGATAATATTTGGCATTTATTCTGTCGGTCGATTAATACGAGCGAAAAGCGCGTCATGGCCTGCGCTTGAGTTCTGATCGCCAACTGAAGGTGCACATTTTCAGCTGATCCCTTTGGAAAGTAAACACGATCATTTTGTTTGTTTACAAATTGCTGGACAACGAATGTTTTTTCATCGGAGAAAACCAAATTCGGCAGTCCAACACTTTCGGCCAAGCGAAGCAACTCTTTAGCTCTTTTGAGTCTATTTTCTTTCTGTTGCGGTGTAAGTTCTTGCACTTTTTGGAATTTCAATGGCTTTATCCCGAGCTCATTTTTCAAATATTGCGATATGTTCAGCTCGCAAACCATTGTTCGGTCACTGTGACGAGGGTTTCGATCAAGCCGCTTCTTTACTTTTCGAATCATTTCTGCTGATGTTTCTGTTTTCTTCCGTCCACTTCCTTGACGTCGGGCTACCACCAGTATCACAGTAACGAGCGATGGTATGAGACACAAAATATTTATTCACATTTAAATGCTGGAGTGCTATAACGATAGCCGCTTGTGGTTTTCCAGCCAAATATAAAGAAATCACACTATCACGCTTAAATTTCATCACGAATAACTATTTTTTCTGGAAAATTCTCACCAAAATGCTTTGGTAGGCTTGTGAACGATATAATGAGCTGTTACTGGAATGATTTTAACAGCTGTCGGACGAGTGGCTTAAAAATGACAGCAGTCTGAAGTTGGTTGCAGTTTTTTCATCTCACCTGTATATTAAATTAATCAAGTAGAGTCTGAGGGTATACATCTGTTGGCAAAACCGACTGATACTTTTTAATATTGTGTGTATTATTTCTATAGTGCAGTGTTTCTTGTGAACGCCTAAAAGTATGCTATACAAATGTGATAAAACATATGACTCTAGTCTTTACTGAAAAGTAATGCGAGGTATTGGCATATGTTTTAAAAATTAACAGCAATAAGTCTTTCTGTAGAAACGAATGTAATTTGGTTTTCGAACAACCAACTCCAGTTTACCATCGTAAAAGTTTAATTCAATTTAATTCAAATTTATTAAGTCTTTGTTTTTAACACGACAATTTACAATATTGAAGTGATGTCTTTGTCGTATTTTATTATTGAAATGTCATAGCATACTTTTATGTTCTGTCAAAAATTTTATGTTATACAATACCTTTGTTTTAGTTCCCAAATTCTGGGGAACTCCTAAAAGTCATCTATAACCAGTAAAGAAAGTCTTAAAGTCGGGCGGGCCGACTTTATGATACCCTACACCACTTTGCTAATTTAGTAGAGCTGCGCAAAACAATTAAAAGATTTTATGGGAGAATTCAATCATACACGCTATGATTATAATTATAATTTAAAATTCAAAGGACTAAATATGCCGAAGCGTTTGTATATTTTAAATTCGGACTTGTATTGCCCATTTGGAGCAAAATTAATTTGAAATCAGATAAAGATGTATATGGGAGCTATATCCAAATCTGAACCGATCTCGATAAAATTTCGAAAAGATATTTCTGAGCTGTATTTGATTTTGACTCGTTGGAGTGCATATTACGGCTGTGGGTAACAAATATAACAAATCGGATGAACAGTATATATGGGAGCTATAGCTATATCTGAACCGATCTTCACCAAATTTGACATACTAGCTTCTAGACTCAATTCGGTCGTAAGTGCCAAATTTCATCTAATTTGGCCAAATATTAGACGTTTGGTGCACACTAAAAGGTAAATCGGACGAAGTTATATATGGGAGCTACATCCAAATATGAACCGAACTCGATAAAATTTAGCAAATGTATTTCTGAGCTGTATTTGATATATTTCCCCAAATATTGTTGTTACAGGGTGCATAGTACGGCGGCGGTGGACAAAAATAACAAATCGGATGAACAATATATATGAGAGCTATAGCTATATCTGAACCGATTTCGATCAAATTTGGCATACATATTTTCAGGCCTAATTTGGGTGTATATGCAAAATACCATACAATTCGGGCTGATATTACACGTTTGGTGCACAATAAAAAGCAAATCGGACGAAGATATATGGGAGCTATATCTAAATTTTGACCGATTATATTCAATTTCAATAGGGTTCGTCCTTGGGCCAAACAAATGATTTGTGCAAAATTTCATCTGGATCGGGTAATAAATGCGAACTGTACTTTGTTTACAAAAATACATGGACAGACGAACAGACGGACGGACGGACATGCATATATCGACTCAGAATGTGATTCTATGCAGATCATCAAAAGGAACTATGGGTCTATCTCGTTTCCTTTTGCCTGTTACAAACAAATGCACAAAGACATAATACCCTGGCCACCTTGTGGTGTAGGGTATAAAAATGCTGTGGGCGCCTAAAAGTATGCTATACAAATGTGGTTAAAGTCTTTCCACATATGACTCTAGTCTTTTCTGAAAAGTAATGCGAGGTATTGCCATATGTTTTGAAAGTTAACAGTAATAAGTTTTTCTGTAGGGACGGCTGCAATTTGGTTTCGGACTATGTGAATTCAATTTACCATCGTAAAAGTTTAATTCAATTTAATTCAAATTTATTGAGACTTTGTTTTTAACACGAAAATTTACAATTTTGATGTGATGTCTTTGTCGTATTTTATTATCGAAATGTCATAGCATGCTTTTATGCGCTCTCAGAAATTTTGTATATTGTACAATACCTTGTTTTAGTTTCCGAATTCTGGGGAACGCCTAAAAGTCATCTATAAAAATGCTAAAGAAAATTATGGCAAATGTCACTTCACATATCACTCTAACATATATGAAATCATTATAGCCATCATAAAGCGTTATCGAAAATTAAAGCACTTTGAAACCTGCCTTCTCAATCTGAAATGGCGTTTTATCTCACCATGGAACACTCTTCATTGGGTTAATAAACTCAATTATTGGCTTGGGTGATTTCGAATACGTTTTTATACGCTACTTTTATGATAAGGATTTCAAACATCTGTCGTCTATTTTTGGAAATTTTTTAAATAAGAAAATTTGTCGTGGCTCTCGTTTAAAACAATTTATGGTTTGTTGTTGGCTTATCGCTCACGCGAGGTTAATGATCAGCAAATTGTCAAACAAAAATTTTCAGTCAAACAAAATTTTAATCAAGAAAGTTTCACAATTCAATTTCAATGTTTCAAATTAAAGAAATATGAAGAAGTCACATCAAACTCACCTAAATCGGTTAATATTTGATCATTAAAGAAATCCATGGCAAATCGTTTTATGTTTTCGAACTTCTTGTGTCCTTTGAAGCATCCTTGTAATTTTTATGGTTTGTAATGTCGATGTTGATCCAATTAGAATCGAAATAATTTTAAAAAACCTGGAAGTAAAAAAATACTATTAATAATAAAAACAATAAAATACACGTTTCTCTGTTTATTTTGCAAATCATGCAAAAAGCAAACGAAACATTATTCATTAGCTCGGAATTCTGTTTATTTTGCAAGAAGGAAAAGTCGCAAATACTCTGATGTTTTCTTATCATGCCATGCTATTATCACTTTGAAGGAAAACAACAATGCCAATAAAAACAACGATGTCTTGGGAACTTTTTCTATGAAGATGGTGATGGGTTAGTATTTGCCATTGTTGTTGTTGCTACTGCTGCTGATTTGTTATTGTTGTCGTCGCCGTCGTCGTCATCTTGTTTACTTCGCCGATTATAAATGTTAATCGTCGAATAATTATTCATTATCAGTTGAAATTGATTAATTAGGAGAAATTCATGTAAAACAAGTTGAAACGGCCCTCAGATCGCACAGTAATCCAGAATTCAACTTTACTTGCTAAAACTTAATTTTTCCCTACCCATTTAAAACCCACAAAATTGATGAAATATTTGTAGATATGAACGTGAAAATAAGAATTCTTTGTAATATAAAATAAGTAAAATAGTATCAATCGGTTTTGCCGACAAACGTATACCCTCTGCCAGATTATTTAAACTGTTGATCCTTTGTACCTGACCTAGGACTGATATAAATATTACAACGTGCCAGATTTAGACTATATAGGCTATTTCCTATACTTTATATGAGATATGTGCAAATTTTTCGAAAATGTGGAAATATGCGTGAGGTTGCAGGTATAGCGGACTGAATTATTCCATTTCCATTCTTCATCTAATACAGATAAAAATATTTGTGTGTGCAAAATCGAACACCTGTATCCAATTTTATGCGAAACCAGATTTCTAGTGGCGAGAAATATTGTTTCGCAAGTTATGACTGTTTTAAGTATTTTAAATTATTACCCTTTGTGGGTGAGGTACCAGAAGGGGTTGGCAGATATATATCATCTTCACAGCAGATCTTGTGTTAGTTGAAATAATGAGATATGTGCGATATGTAGAGAACCGGGGGCATATTTCGTATTTTACAGTCGTTTTGGTTATTCAAAAATTTAACTCTTTGTGAGGGAGGTACCAGAAGGAATGGTCCGATCTCTACCATCTTTATCACAGATCTTGCTATAATATAAATATTGAGATGTGGCAAGTTTGAATGACATCCGATGGTTATTTTGGTGTTATGAGCTTCATGAATATTCCAAATGTTGACCCTTTGTGGGAGAGGTACTTGAGGTAGTGGACTGATATTGTAAATTATCGCACCTGACCTAGCACTGATGGAAATATTAGGATTTGCAAAGTTGGGGCAATATCGAATTATCCTTTCTCTTTCTGTGCAATAAATTATTTTCTTTGCTATTTGGCTAGAGATACGATAACTGGCACGATAACTCTCGAAGGGAGTTTCCGATTTGGTACATCGTAATATTATTATCAAACTTAAATCAAGTTCGGCGATGGGCAATATCGGTCCACTCCTTCTGGTACCTCCCCCACAAAAGGTCAACATTTTCAAAAAATATCTTACTGCACAGAAAGATAAAGGAAAATCCAATTTTGCTCCAACTCAACATTTTGAATAACCAAAACGCTTAAAAATGCGAAGTTAGCATCCGATTCCCTTTAAGTTTCACACATCCCAATATTTCTATTAACACAAGATCTGGTGAGAAGATGATAGATATCGTCCCACATCTGGTATCACCCCTACTTAGGGTCACAATGTTAAATAATGATAACACTCTTTAAATTTTTTCAATTTTTCTATTAACACAAAACCAGGTGTTAAGATGAAATATGTCGGACCACTCCTTCTGGTATATCCCGCAAAACGGGTCAAAATTTTGAGTAAGTGTGCCTCTCATTGAATGTAAAATAAGCATCAGATTCTGCTAAAATTTCATGTATCCCAATATTTTGTCCAACGCAAGTTCCGGTGTGAAAACTTTTAGATATTGGCCAAACCCTTCTGGTACCTCTCTCACAAAGGTTCACGGTTGGCGATATTTATGTCTCTCATAATGGGCGAAACACCAGATTATTCCCAAAAAATATTATAGATGTCCGATTTTCTTCAAAATTTCACATAGTATTAACAGTATAAGATGAAGTGAAATGCTTTGGTCCAATACATTCCGGTACCTCCGGTACCTCACACATATATTTACAATTTTATTTTATTTACAGTGAAGGAAGTAGTCGATATAGTCCAAATCGGGCACGTTGTAATGCGTGCTATATTTGTACGAAAAGTACTAAATGACACTAAAATTTGGTATTGAGTGAAGGAATTGGGTTGGGATCCTCAAATTCGATATTGATGTCTCTGTTGGTATCTGGAATTGATATATTGAGGTGGTGTTGGAAATGTGTACTATAATTGTACGAAAAGTATTAATTAGTACTAAATTTGGAATTGGGTAAAGTATAGAGCTGAAATCGTGAAATTTGATGTTGGTGTCTGTGGTTAAGATATGGAGGCGTTTTTTTAAATGTGTACTAAATAGTTTATCTAATATCCTCAACGGTAAACTTCTTTCCGAAAAATGAAAAACTTGAAAGTCTGAAAATTATGTAACGATGCATACAGTTTTGATTAAAAAAAATGTCAAACTGAACAGTTGATGTTGAATACTAAGAATTAAAACAGCAGCTAAGGTCGGTCGGGCCAAAATGTTAATACCCGCCACCATTTTGATGGAACTTGAACATTTTCAAAAACAAATCCGTTGAAAAATTTCTCTTAAATGAAACCCTTATATGGGTTCATAAGTAATTTTTTGGCATTGGCTGTAGTACCCATTACGAACTTCAATTACGAAATTTAAAACAATTCTAGTGAATAATACTGCTAAAATCATCAAAATATCGAATATAGCGAGGTATCGTTATACGGGGGCTATAAGAAGGCGTGGATCTGAATACACTATATTTTGTTACAGATTGTAGTACCTATTACGAATTTTAAATATAAAATTTGAAACAATTCTGGGGGAAAATGTCTCTAAAATCATCAAAATATCGAATATTGGGAAGCACCGTTATATGGGGGCTATACGTAGAATTGGACACTTTTTTGTCATACATTGTAGAACCCATTACGAACTACAACTACGAAATTTAAAACAATTTCGGTTAGTAATATCGCTAACATCGGGGGCTTTGTTACAGATTGTAGTACCCATTTAAAATTTAGTTACAAAATTTGAAGCAATTCCGGTAATAATGTCGCTAAAATAATCAAAATACAGAATATTGGATGGTATAGTTATATGGGTGTTATATGAAAACGTGGCCCATTACGAACTTAGCCTGCCTACAGGCAAAATACACATGTGTGCAAATTAGCCTTTTAGCCTTCTATCTCAATTCGTTTTAAAGATAGACGGAGAGACAGACATCGCCAAATCGACTTAGAATTTTTCGCTGATCAAAAATATGCATACTTTGTTGGGTCTGACATGAATATTTCGAGGAGTTAGTTAGAGGAGCTCCATAGTATGGTGGAGGATATAAAAAGGCATTACATGAACTGTTGGAACGAATCTAAAATTTTGGGGTGTACTTTTTTCTGACGAAGTAGCAGTCATTTGCTAGTTCTTTAATAAAGGAAGACCATTTTGGTCTCGTGTAAAACTAGTCCTTTATTACATTTTTCCTACTTACTGGTCTTTAATTATTTCCAAAAATTGTAATAGTACATTACTTAAAGTAACCGATTTAATCTTAACTAACAAATCTTCATCTAAACTTTTACTACCACTTTTAACAATAACACGTGCTATTTCCGTTAATTGTTCTAAAGCGATTTTTTACACACAGGTGTACGATATTTCCCCCGAGAGTGTGAGTTTTTAATATGTTAACATTGTGTTATGTCATTTAAATTGTTGCTGTTGTTTTTTTTATGTGTGGACACACACACACACACACATTAATACAATTTGATAATAAAGTTATACATTGAACAAATTAATTACGTTAACATTTAATTATCATTTAATAACCACTCACCCGGATCAAAGAGATCAGACGGAGAGAGAGAGAGAGAGTGATTGGGAGAGAATTCTATATCTTTCTCTCTCTCTCTATTATAGAAATGCATATATGAAGAACAAACTAACATTTTAACATTTTTATTGGCATAGAATTTGAATAATTAATTTTCAAAGTGGCGGGGATTTTTGAATCTGAAATTTCCATGCGTTCTGTCGATGCGAATTAATTTTCTGGGCCCATAAAGCGAATGACGGCCTTAACGGCTTTTATGGTTGGCCCAAATTTTAATGATTTGTTTTTGGTGTTTTTTTAATGGAAATCGGCCGAAGATCACATGATATGGTGGTACCGAAGATTGCTCCAGTGTTTTTTATTTGTGTTCTTTGTGCTGTTGTTGTGACTTTTTACAATAGCAACAACAACAACAAAGTCTTAAAAAATAAAGATTTGATTAACCGATGATGATCTCTGTGTGAAACTGGTTTGCCTACCATGATTTTGCAATATTTTTCATCTCAAGATGATGGAGATGGTCGATTGCCTTATCTTCATCGCCGTCTCCATCGACACCATCGAAGTTAGTTGGTTGTCTACGAAATTATTTAATTTACCCGGATACGAATCAAGTGTCGCTGATCTAAATTCAATTACATTACAACACGACAAGCAGAACGTGTGAGAGATGGTCATACGCACAATTTGTATACAAACTTACAAACACACATATATGCGTAAATACATACTGAAATCTGGAGCTGGACAGTGGGCTAAAATTGAACTTCTAGGGCCGTCAAGAAAGAATTATTCAAGTATTCCACAGATAAGTTTGCAAGAGATTTTTATGCTTACAAAAAATTTGCAATACATGTCAACTAATTGGTAGAGCTCCCTTATAAATGTACCTCCTGATTTTCGGTGTTTTGAAGGTTTCTACCTCAACTCCTAGCTAAATCAGCGGAAGGATAAAACTA